ACAATTAAAGACCAGCCTGAACCTCAGGACAATTAAAGACCAGCCTGGACCTCAGGACAACTACAGACCAACCTGGACCTCAGGACAACTACAGACCAGCCTGGACCTCAGGACAACTAAAGACCATCCTGGACCTCAGGACAATTAAAGACCAGCCTGGACATCAAGACAATTAAAGACCAGCCTGGACCTCAGGACAACTACAGACCAGCCTGGACCTCAGGACAACTAAAGACCAGCCTGGACCTCAAGACAACTGAAGACCAGCCTGGATCTCAAGACAACTGAAGACCAGCCTGGACCTCAGGACAATTAAAGACCATCCTGGACCTAAGGACAACTAAAAAACAGCCTGGACCGCAGGACAATTAAAGACTAGCCTGGACATCAAGACAATTAAAGACCAGCCTGGACCTCAGGACAACTAAAGACCAGCCTGGACCTCAGGACAACTGAAGACCAGCCTGGACCTCAGGACAATTAAAGACCAGCCTGGACCTCAGGACAATTAAAGACCAGCCTGAACCTCAGGACAACTGAAGACCAGCCTGGACCTTAGGACAATTAAAGACCATCCTGGACCTCAGGACAATTAAAGACCAGCCTGGACATCAAGACAATTAAAGACCAGCCTGGACCTCATGACAACTACAGACCAGCCTGGACCTCAGGACAACTAAAGACCAGCCTGGACCTCAAGACAACTAAAGACCAGCCTGGACCTCAGGACAACTACAGACCAGCCTGGATCTCAGGACAATTAAAGACCATCCTGGACCTCAGGACTATTAAAGACCATCCTGGACCTCAGGACAATTAAAGACCATCCTGGACCTCAGGACTATTAAAGACCATCCTGGACCTCAGGACAATTAAAGACCATCCTGAACCTCAGGACTATTAAAGACCACCCTGGACCTCAGGACAACCAAAGACTGTCATGCTGATGATTGGCAGATTTATCAGCCGTTAAAACCCAACAGTTCTCGCTCTGTTCATCTGATAACCTGTCTTGATGACATCAAGGCATAGGTGGCAGGGTTCTGGACTAACTGCAGTTGTGTGTGGTCTTTGTTTGACCTCTTTGTGTATTTGTGGTATCTTTGGGCCATTCTTGTCGTTTATTGGATTCTAAAACGTTTTCATGAAAGGAGGTGGGCGATTTGAATTCTGCCAGGGCTGTTCTTTTGTTCTGTGCCAGGAAGTCAACAGTAACACTACAGCTGATCACTGATCCATACGTGATCCTCCTGATCACAGAGAATGGGTCTCAGATCAGATCTTAAGTCTCTCCAGCAGGAGCAGACTCAGAGTTTTGAACAGAACCATCTGCAGAACCCTCTCGAGGCTGACCAGTTTAGAGTCACATCTGCCTGTAAATTAGTGCCCAGAACGACTCAGACGTCCGTCGTGATCGAATTCTCTCCACACCACCGGCAGTAATATGTGCTGGGAGTGAGTTTACATAACCCACTGGTGTCTGCACTGAGATTAGACCCGTTTAATCCCCCCCCCCCACCACCCACTCTGAGATATATCATCTGTCCTATTCACAACAGAAACCATTTGTGAGTCAGCAGAGGTCAGGGGTCAATCCAACGCTGGTGTCTGAGTGAGCGCAGCATCATCAGATTATCAACGATCAGAGTCATACTGTTAGTTCACTGATTCAAACAGAATAATCTGCTCCAGTGGACTTCAGACTCTGTAAAGAGTTCTGACCACGGCTCAGGACGGGTCAGACTCAGGACTCCCTTGAAACTGTAACACCAATGACACTGGAGAGGAGAAAAATCTATGTTCAGTAAAACTGCAGAGAGAACGGTTAAACTTGTCTGTGAGGCTGACACTCTGTCTACTTTAAGACCAGGATGAAGACGTTCATTTTTGATAAATCCTATAGTTAGGGTTGACTTCGGTTTCCTCGGCTATCCCTTAGTTCTGCTGCAGTAGGCTTTGACTGCTGGAGGACAAACTGACCTCATCTCCTCACTCTGCTGTTCATATTTGTAATTATTTCTATCATTAACACATTTTCTTTGTTTTATTACTATAGAAACTACATCTAGGCCCTAGGAACTACACCTGAACCACAAAACCTACACATGGACCATAGTAACTTCACCAAGGCCACAGAAACTACACATTGAACATTAGAACTACACCTGGACCCCATGAACTACATATAGACTTTACAAATTTCACTTTAACTATAGAAACTCCACATACACTATAATCTACATATGAACCAAAAAAAAAACTGTATCTGGACCACAACAACTTCACTTGGACCATAGAAAATTAACTGGACCATATAAACTCTATCTGAACCAAATAAACTATGCAAGTACTAAATAAACACCCCACTGACTATAGAAACTACACCAGGACAATACCATTTCTACGTGAACTACATAAATTACACTTGAACTATAAAAACTACATATGGACCATAAAAACTGCACCTGAGCCACAAAACCTTCTACTGAACAATATAAACTACACCTCCACTATGGAAACTACACATGGATTGTAGAAACACACTAGACCATAGAAACTACACCTGTGATATATACATCACATCTGCACCATAGGAAATACACCTGGGCCATAGAAACTACACCTTGACTATGGAAATTACACCTAGATTGTAGAAACCAAGCTAGACCATAAAAGCTACACTTGTAACATATAAACCACAACTGGACTGTAGAAACTACATTGGACCATAGAAACCATGTTTTGACCATAGAGACCACATGTAGACCAGTCATTCTGTGTTTGTGTCTCTCTCCTGTCCTCTCTAACCCCAGCTGGTCGTTGCAGATGGTCGTCCATCTTGGTTAATGTTCTACTGGAGGTTTCTTCCTGTTAAATGGAGTCATTTCTACATATAAGTAAATATACATATAAAATGACCATTGTTGATCACGTTCGTTATTTTAATTACAATTCTTTGATGAAACTGTGACTGAGCCACAGTAAACAGCCTGCAGACACGTGTTCTTAGGCTGACCTGCTTCTCACAGCGAGTAAAACCTTCCACCCCTCTTTATTTGTTGTTTATCAGCTGGGTGTTACCAGGTGGAGGGTCCAAACCTAGATCTGACAGGCTGCAAAAATAAACCAAGAACCGAAGCTCAGAAATGAAAAGTTCTGCAGAAACTGGGAGGAAATCCAAAAAGATGGGTAGACCGAGCAGAACCAAACAGCTGGGCGGACTGACAAGGACCTGGCAGAGAGAGGAAGGACGCTGAGAGAACGAATGACAGAAAAAACAACGGCTCAGTGGCGTTCAAACGAAAGACGAGACGACAAAAACCTTGAAATAAAAGAAGACAAAAGACTTTTACATAAAACCTTGCTTCGTTTAAGAATCTCTTGAACTTCAGAAAAGACGTTTATTCCTCGTGTTATATGACAAGTTTTTATTGT